CCTTGTCGAAACGTTGTACATTTGCTGTTATATTAAAGTTTTTCTTCATTACCCATTCAAGCCGTCTCCAGCCATTATTAGTCTCAAAGTGGGTTCCTCGTCATCGAATTTGATCATTCATCATTTGTTACCAGAGACTTTCTGGATGTATACTGTACTATTGGTCACCCATCTTTTGTTACCAGAGACTTTCTGGATGTATACTGTACTATTCATCATCCATCGTTTGTTACCAGAGACTTTCTGGATGTATACTGTACTTCTGATCACTCATTATTTGTTACCAGAAGCTTTCTGGATGTATACGGTATTATTCATCACCCATCATTTGTTACCAGAGATTTTCTGGATGTATACTGGACTATTGATCACCCATCATTTGTTACGAAAGGCTTTCTGGATGTATACTGTACTATTGATCACCCATCATTTGCTTTTCCTAGCTACATCATAAAAAACTTTGTTTTCTAACAGTCTCGTTCCCTGTGAATGTCGATGAAGACCTTCCATGTTTACCGCTTTCACAGTACTAGTATAGAGTAGTTCGATATCCTGCCATTAGGGTTGTGCTGGATTTCATAAAGGGTTTCTCTTGCGAACTTAACTACCTCGTTTAGTTTTAGTAGCCACAGAGACGTAGGTCAGCACTGAAACAGGCATTGTGTACATTAATAAACATAGTATACTTACAACAGTGGATCTGAAGGGGAAAAAATGATAATAAAGAGGATTAAGAACTTATAACAAGTGAGTTGTTTGTTAGTTGGCTCATTTTTTTTATTTTTTTTTGCAAATTGGCTAAATTAGTGTATTCATTAGCAAGTATCAATCGGAACCACTTCCAGATTTTCTTATTAATGCCAGTTGTTGCTGCTGTGTTTGTATTTCTTTAATTGTTGTTGCAATAGTTAAAATTTAATACCTATTAATGTTTGTGTACTGTTTCATAGTGTGTTTGAAGGAGCTAATTTTACGTTTATGTTTCTTTAATCATTAAGATTTTTCACGTGGTCAAGGAAGTGTGTCTGTGATGTTATTTACAATGAAAGTTATAAGTATGCGCAATAAAGTAGGTTCCAGAAATGTTGTGAAGCAAATACTTTCGAACAGAGAGATAAAAAGAGAATAAACATATTTATGTGTAAAAATAGAACGAAATCTTTATTCATACAAAGACAACTATTAGTTGTGTTTAATTATACCGGGAAGATTCTCTTTTCTTAATTAACTTTTTCTACCTGCTGGATCAGGTCGGAAGCACTTTGATGCCAGATGGAGGCAGGATCATAATGATTCTACACTTTCAGTATCAGCCAAAAGTATTCTAGATTACCTATATCAAACATCATTCCCATTATATGTGTTCAAGCCCGTGATAACTGTTCTACCCCTTGAAATTATCATGACTTCGCTCCAGGAGGGCATGATCCAGAAACGAAGTCAGACAAGTAAAAGCCCTTTTGAACAATTGTTATAATATGCAACTTTTTGTCCACTCTATTTTTACATTCAGTTTACAATGGCGTTACGGGCAAGACACCTGTACAAAAATGTAGGAAAATATTACCAGAATATAAGTGAATGTATATATATTCTTTAGTAAATAAATAAGTAGAAAAATGCGAAGGTGATAAAATAAAGAAATTAGACTTTTAGAGAAAAATCAAATTTAAAAACTATGGTAGTAATTTATTTACTTCGTGACGTTTCGAGCAAATGCTCTTTTTCAAGCCAGAAACAAGCCTGTCATTAACCGCTGCCAAGTAAACAAATTACGATCACAGTTTTGAAAGGTGTTTTTTCTCTAAAAGTCTATTCGTTTTCCATATATTTTAGTAGTTATAGACGTAGAAATTGAGAGTTTTGTTTTAAACTGTAACACACCCAATGCGTGTGGAATGATATAATGCGCAAGATAATTTGTATACACAACATTATTTTATTGTACAAGATAATTTGTATACATAACATTATTTTATTGTACAAGATAATTTGTATACATAACATTATTTTATTGTACAAGATAATTTGTATACACAAATTGTTTTTTGTAGCAGTAATTTTGCCAAAACAATAGTGTTTTGGTGGATAAACTCAAATCTATTATTAGTATTAATTACCTGGATTAGTCACAAAATTAAGCGCAAAATTAAGTTAGTAATCTTCTTATTTTTTATACCTGTGTATTACTATATTTTATTTTTTCATGCGTCGTGTGTATAAATATAGTTCATTAATATATTTTTATTGTTGGTGTACAATGTTTTAGTGCTAATATATCTATCACTACTAATTTTAATATAGTTATTGTACTAATGTCGTTGCATCCTCAAATATCACCTGGATGAATGTTTTCTTTTGTCCTTAATTAGTTTATAATCGCTAACTATCTGATGTTGGTTTGTGTTTAAGCACAAAGCCACACAATGAACTATCTGTGCTCTGCTAACCAAGGGTATTGAAATCCAATTTTTGGCGTTATAAGCCTCTTCTTGTCACTGAGTCACCAGAAAGCATAGGCTTATGTCAAAAAGCATTCAGTGTGTAGTGTTATTTAACTATATTCAAATGTGCCTAAACTCACCCAGAAGAGAACTAACAACCTCTAATTATTTAGCTGCCAACATTTCTAGAGCACACTGTTGCTAAAGTGATTATTTTCCCATTACTTTTATATCTAGATTTTAAAGATATGTTAATTAATGCAGTACTAATTATTTTAACGAAAACATAAACATAACTTTTATTCGTTTTCAGGCCTTCTCCTTCACATGGAGAATATGAGAATGGATCCCAAACATCAATTCGCTGCCCAGTACGTTCTGAGTCGGGCAGCAGCAGAGAGACGTGAGACCCATAGCAGCACAATGGCTTCTCTGCAAACGGCTAATTTATCTATGAGTGGAGGCAGATCCGGTTCTGACCAGATCAAAGAAACACTAACACATCCCAATCATGGTAACAACCAGAACGGTTCAGTCCGAGGTATATTTTCCAGTATGGCAGGTTTGTCAAATATTGGTCGGCCACCTCCGGCTCCGGCTCATTCTCAATCGTCGTCGGCCCTTTCGCACAGGCACATTATACCTACTCTGTCTTTATCTCGCTTGTCTTCTCAGCACCAGTCTCAGTACTTCTAAAAAAGCGTCAGTAGTCCAAAGTTTTGGTTAAGCTAATAGCAGTAGAAGTATGAAAATAAATAGCTTTTAAATTATAGGTAAGCTAATGCCCAAATATTTAGATAATCCAATCAGTCGTGATGTTGTGCAGCAAAAATTTATTTTTGGAATTGCTGTGCACGAGTAATGTCTTTATGGTAGTTAGTACGTTTATACTGCGCGTTCTGTCTTCGCTTATTAAACACACATACAAAAGCTTTAGCAGTTTGTCATAAGTTCTTGCATTAAACTTGAGAGAATTTGAAACTTAAGTACAAATTGAGTAATCTAACCTGTATCTTTTGTAGTAGCAATCAGTAAACAGGTTTATCGTAATCTTCCGTGCAAATACAGGTAAACTATGTAGAACGTTGAAACAAGTTGGTGGTTTTCCGTGCAAAAGCATGTAAGTTGTCTTTAAGCTCAACAAAAAACATGGAGAAATTGGATAAGGCAATTTTTCAGTGTTTGAAATATCTATATACAGTGATAAATATTAACTTTTCGACTCGTTCAATGCATTGCTGTGGCCAAGTGAGCTGTGATACAAAATTTGCTTACAAAAGAAAGCTTGTATGCATTTTTGAGCCAGGAAGAGCTAGGTCTATTGGATTTAGCTAAACCTGGCCCTAATAGTGAGCGTGTTTAATTTGAAAAGTATATGTGATGTTTTTATTTACATAAAGTGTCGCTGGGATGGAATCCCACAGGCACTCTAAACACTTCCATATTTGTCGGTCAGTGTTGTCTTGGTCGGTATATCTCTTTCTCGTAAGAGGCCGCTCCGGCTTTTTGTGATGATGGCTTATACTTATTAGGCCTAATATTAATATTAACAAGACCAAAGTGTTGTGATTATTATTAATGTGGATTAGTAATGTAGTTCCTTTGTAGTAGAGTTAGAATATTACAGACAGATTGGTATCGTTGTATGTTTTTGTGGGTTGTGGTATGATTTTGCTTACATAATTTCAACATTAGGCCTAGGTAAAACGTAACGTTTGGATTACTCTTTACATCATTAAGAAAATATGTATAACTAAACAGAGGCTAACGCATTTTGTTATCTAGTAAGAAGGATTTGCCTAAAAGACTATTTTATATACCACCATAAAAATGATGTTTATTGTGATGGCAACCTGAAACTTAGCTAGGACTGTTCTTGTAATTCCCAACGATCTGGTTCAGGTGCCAGAGTCAAATGTCTGTCTTTAACTTCAACAACAACAACAAACATACAGTCGCTTTTTGTACATCCCAGAAACACTGTTAGAATCGCCTCCTTCCCCAGCATATCAAAGGTAAAAACTAGCATTATTGCCAGAATAAGTTGAGAGCTAAATGTCTGAAGTAAAAACTGGTAAATGTTTGAATAATTCGATAATTAGAAATACAGGCGGATTACTATATTTTTATAATTTGGAATTCTCGGCTCAACTAACAGTGTATTACAGTCTGCGAGATCTTGTATTGGAGTCAGTTAAAATATTTTCTAAGACATTAAATTATACTATTTTTTTATTGCAAGGTTTTCATTGTTCACTTTTCTCCAGTGTAAAATAAAACCCAGCCATGTTCTATTTGTTTATTAAAATACTTAAAATCAAAATTATTATAAGAGAAAAATAAACTCGCATGCCTAAGTATATGTTTCCTTTTTAGCATATTTTTTTGTTTGTTTATTTTTTGTACACGAAAGAATAAGGTCCATAACAACTATAACTTACAGAAAGAAATCCATATAAAACCAGTCACTAGTTATCATATAAAACCAGTCACTAGTTATCATATGAAACCAGTCATTAGTTATCTTATAAAACCAGTCACTAGTTATCATATAAAACCAGTCATTAGTTATCTTATAAAACCAGTCAATAGTTATCTCATAAAACCAGTCACTAGTTATCATATAAAACCAGTCATTAGTCATCTTATAAAATCAGTCACTAGTTATCATATAAAACCAGTCACTAGTTATCTCATAAAACCAGTCACTTGTTATCATATAAAACCAGTCATTAGTTATCTTATAAAATCAGTCACTAGTTATCTCATAAAACCAGTCACTTGTTATCATATAAAACCAGTCATTAGTTATCTTATAAAACCAGTCACTAGTTATCATATAAACCAGTCACTAGTTATCATATAAAACCAATCACTAGTTATCTTCGATGGATTTTTCACTTAAAGTAAATTATGCCTAATACTTAAATGCAAATATCTTTAAATTATTGAGAATTATTTCTCCTAATGTAGTGTTTACTGTGATATGTAGGATAATACGATACTAAAGCTAAATAAAACGTTTTCCAATGACTCATATAATATTTTTTAATTTAGTTTATTGCTTACGTTATGTGTTAGCTAGTAATTATACTTAGTTGATATGTCATATATTTTCTATGTTCATATTTACATACACTTGTATTCTCATTTGTTATGATAGTTCTATATAAGTTTTGTTATTTTTTAACAGTATATAAGTAAATGAACGACAGTCTGTGAAATACTTCTCATATTTGACTTTCGCAAAAGGGCGATATTGAATCTGCAGAAAATACAAATACTTTATCACAAAATAAAAGTTTTGAATTACTTCCTGAACAATCCGTGCCCTTGATACAAGATAGCTAATAAACGTTTTGTTTCGTTAATTTTGAAGAAATTTTTATGCCAGAAGATTTCGTGACCGAACAATTTAACAACTTACTTTTGTACTTTGTTTTTCATATATCAGTGTTTGTGTTATTTTAACACAAAGCAACACAATAGGCTGACTGCGCTCTGTCCACCACGGAAAACAGAATCCTGGACCACCGTATTGTAAGTCCATTAAACTTATCACTGACTCACTGGAGGACGGTATATTCTAAACATTATCGAATCATTTGATAATGTTTTTCTCATTCTTAATATTCTTATCTTAGCGCATAATTTGAAAGACAAAGTCATTCTAGTTTTTACATAAATACGTAGTCCAATCTTGCAAAATAATGTAACACAAATTCTTGATCATGCAGGATAACTTATTAGTGAATGAAAATAGATTAATATAGTGTCAATACAGCAACATTTGAAAAACCTAATTAAGCTGTTATGAAAAGTTCTAGCAGAAATAAAATAAAACGTTATTTATTATCCTTTGAAATGTCACGAGTAGTTTTAACAGCAATAGAACGAAATATTATTGTGACGTTTTGTTCACATCTAGGTGTAATATCACGGGACATTTTAACATCAACAAAGAAAATGACATGTTAGTGTGGCATTCTGTTCAGGCCTGGGCTTAATTTTATAAAATATTCTAACACCAATAAAGAAAATGTTAGTGTAGCATTCTGTTTAGGTCTAGGTGTAATGTTACATGAAATTCTAACACCAATAAAGCGAAGTTTTAGTGTGACTTTTTGTCAAATCTTAGGTGACATATTGTGAAATGTTCTAAACTTAAAGTACTTTTTCCTTATCTAACAG